ACACCCAGGCCTGTCGTACAGACCACTTTAGGTGGTTCTGACTCGTGGGCAGGTTTAGTTATTGATATTGAGATTTGAGCTCTAGATTCAACCGTACAGGTCACGTTAGGTGACTCCGGCTGCCAGACTATATGTTATTGATTTGATTTCTACCTGAGCACTTGCATTTCATTCTGAGGTTCCGACATGGCATATCCTTGAGCATGATTGGCATATCTATATATACGTATACATGTTTATTTTCTGGGAAGTATACAGGTTTTACGGCGAGGGGTTAGAACTTATTTGTTAAATGGTTTTCGAAAAGCTTTGTTTTTGCCCACTCACGCTTTTGTTTTGCGCCCCTCCAGGTTCTAGCTGCCTAGCAGGTTCGGTGGTTTCCCAGAGGGCTTTCTCGGCATTTCTGACAGACGATCACCAGCGTAGGGACCACCTTCGGGTGTACTGTTGTCGCGTCATTTTAGTTGGACTGCTTTAGACGTTATACTCTGAACTTGTGTCTCACTTACGCTAGCACTTATTACTTTTACCTTATGTATGCTAGTTTTTATTTATTCGTACTTTTACGTTACTACTTTATTAGCTTCCACACTGTGCACTTGGCTACGTCACTTCCACGTGACGGCCAGCACGCCCTGATCTCGTTCGGGGTGTGTCAGTATAAACAATAGAAAATTCTAATCCTACTTTTGTCTATATAATCTACAAGGGACGAATTTGACTAAATTCGTGCACAAGTAGTAGTCTAATACAGATGCGAAGAAAATATTGGAAAATATAAACTTGTTAGAAACAAAGAGGAGAGGCATTGTTGTCAGGGAGAGTAGTTGATGAAGGAGAAGGAGACGAAGAATAATGAGGTGCTGATGAAGTATTGCACGCGCTTTACTTAGGTTTTTTTTTTTCATTATCTTGTCCTTATCATTAAATAAAGTTATAGGATGACTTTTGGTTAAAACTTAGTTTTGAAACCCCTTTCCTTGGTGTTCCTAAAAAAGAAACCATGAGATGAATCTCATGATGTATATTATTAAGTTGAAAAAATAATTATGAATAATTTAAATATATAAATGATAAATGATTATGTTTAAAGCTTATCACATGGCAAATTTTGAGTAGTTAGTAGTGCCACTCAGCAAAGTCCAATGACAAGCTGAGCCCCATACAAATTTTTCTCGAGAATAACATCACTCCTCATGAAATCATCATTAACACTGTAATCTTATGAAAAATTAACACTATAATTAAGACTGTTTCTATTCCTTTCGATAATTAACAATGTAATCTTGAGAAAAATTATTGAAACCAAGAACATGTAGTTGTAATCCAATTATACTTACTGGCAATGCCACACGCTAAAAAACAAGTGTGAGAAATATATTTTTATTTTTATTTTTCTCAAATGTTTTTTTTTTTAATTTTTTTTATGTGAGGAGCTATTTGTTTTTAATGGGATTGGCAGTTAAGGAGAGTGAAGGGTAATTTTTGAAAAAATAAGTTCATTAAGCAACATAATACATGCATTCAACAATTAAATAGTGGAAGCATGTTTCTATGCACTTTAAAACAAAGCTTAAACCATGAACTTCAAAGCCTAGTACCAAGACTCAACTAAAAAACAAAGTGAGTTGAAAAACATTATACTTTTGATGAATCATCTTTGCATGAGCAAAGGCTAATCACCCAAGAGAGAGGGCCTTCATTCCTTGCTTCTTTGCTCCATGGATTTATTAGAGAATGATGGATGAATGATTCTCCAAAAGTCCCCAGAGTTGGAGACCTCTAAGTTCTGACACCAAGGATGGTGAAGGATGGAGATGAGTGACATAGGAGGAAAAAGATTGCTAGCTAAATTCCTCCTATGTGGCCAGCCTCCTAGAGAGAAAAGGAGAACAAAAAATTCTCCCATCTTTCCTCAAAGAAACCCTAATGAACAAAAGGCTATAAAGTTACTTTTATAATTTCCTTTACTTGAGTGGTAAGCTTGTAATAAGTCCAAAACCACTCCCTCTTTAAGCAAGGCCGGTCTCCCTACGTTTAGTGGGTTATTGCCCATTTTGTTTTAGTTGTCGTATAACTTAAACTCAATGGCACAAGTGGACGAAAACCATTTTGGGTCTCTAAACCCAACACTAACTTAAAGCCCATTATGAACCTTTCGTATGATAAATTAACATATTAATATATTCTTGCCATATACAATTAAACTATTTAATTGTCCTTACTCATCTTCATTATTTTCTTCAATCATTACCTAACACATTGTGCTATCCATCAGGTTCTTTTTAGTGATGTAGCGGGCGATTTAAAATTCTTTCTAATCAATTATGAATTGAAACTTTCACTTCTCCCTTTAGTAATTATACATCTTCAGGGCTTTTACAAACCATGAGTGACATCTAGCAGTATGTCATGGCTACCCAACCTATTCAGTTTGTGATTACAAATGCAATATGGTCTTTCTTTAATACAATACTCTTGATCACATTGTTTGGTTTGATAGTTTATTCATGTCTTATATCCAATGTGATTCTCTTGTCTATATATTTACCTTGAATGTGATTTGGAACAACTTCCTAAATCTCATTCATACTCTGGCCAGAGACTCTTAATCATATCATACAGTATTCTCCCTCAACAGTTTGAAGTTAGAGATCCCTTATTGCGAATTCACCTGCTTTTATGGTTAAGTAGCTTAACCCAAATTATGTTGTGGACACCCTCTGATGGAGTGCCTTTAAGATCAAGGATCTAACCACAAGACAACTATGATGTCTTAGGTCAAAAGACTACTTTGCATTATCTAACTATGAGTTTTCATGTGACATGAGTATTAGAACTCCTCATTGATCACGTTCAATGGACTCATTCTCTATTGAGCATCTACGTACTTGTCTTGGTGTCAGTCACACCAATGACACAAGACCAGTCACTCTCCTTGAGAGCAGACATAACACATATTGATCTTAACGGGCTGCCAATGCCTAATTGACGATCCTATGATCAGGAACGTTTTGGATATGTGTACTACGAGAATGGTCTCATGAATCTAGCTTCTTTACATCACATTCTCCTAGTTACATATTCCTTGGACTTATTGTTCAAACGTATAACATTTATATGAGACAGCTTTTAACCATAATATTTCCCCATATATTAAACAAGTTTAGTTTAACATATAAAATCTCCATAAAATATCATCATATGATCAAGTTTAGGGCACATTTCTAATGAAGAGTTAGAGAGAGAGTGAGTGTAGAAGGCAATGATACATTGTTTTGTCTTTCACGGAAATGGATTCTCTCATGAGCATTTCCGCCTTTCACAATGCAAAAATAAAATAACAATGTTTTATGAATTTCTTTATTAAAAAATAAATAAATAAATAAAAGAAGAACTCCTTTGACAGTAATTGTGGAGATGCTATAAAGGTAGGACTGGAGTCTACAGTGAATTAGCCAATCTTATTATTGGAGTAGGATTTTTTCCCTTTTTATTCACATTTCTTTTTCTTTTTTCCTCTTACATTTTGTTTTTTGTCTTATGATATTTAAAAAAAAATCAATATAAGATGTTGACGTGGTTTAATCGTAACCGTTCAAGAAGGAGGGGAGTAAAAGGAAAGGAAATTAGGAGGGAGACAATTAAGGATGGCAATTTAACTCGTCAAATCTGATCCCCGCAAATAACCGATCCAAATGGTTTGGTTTCGGGCATCAAATTTCAAGTATTTTACGATTATGGGTAACTGTCAAGTAAATTTTTCGATTTCAGATTCGGTTATGGTTATTGGGATATCTGTCCCAAACCCATACCCAAAACCAAACTAGTTCATCTTTGGATAAAAAAAATATAAATACTTATTATATAAAAAAGGGTTGTTAATAATCATGCATTATTAAATATGAAATTAATTATTTACTTTTATATCATTAATAGTATGACTTATATCTATCTATATATATAAAGTGAGAGCCCCAGTTTGGTGAAGCTTTCCAAAATACCAAAATTGTCCCTTTGTTTCTTTCACAATCAAAACCCCAAAAATTCAAAAAAGAAGGACAAAGTGGTAAAAAAACCATAACTGGAAGAGAGAGCATCAAAGCGGAAGAGTTTTGTAGGATGAGGAATGAGAATCGCAAACGTGGGTTCAAACAACCCTCCACGTTCTACGAACTACCAACCAGATCAAAGCCGGCACCTTGATTTCAATTCCTATTCTTTCACATCCTTCCCCCTCACTCCCAACACCATCTCCACTCCCTCTCTCGCTTTCTCTAAAATCTAAAATTAAATTACGGAAAATTGAAAAAAAAAAAAGAAAAATAAGTAGATGTGCTTAAGCCTCTCAACTGCTAAGCGGTTTGGGCAGTTTTCTCCCCCATAGAATTCCACAATCTGAGTTGGGAGGTTCAACACTAGAGAAAGAAACTGTATTTGAAGCAGTTGTCGTAGTAGTCTCCCATTCCAATTTCACGATCCCTTGCGCTCTAACATCTCCCGTTCCCTTGCACTCATCCAGTTTCTAAGCAAGGGGCTTTTCAAAATCAGGTACACCACCTTTTGAATTATGTATTAATTTTGTTTGTTGCATTGATTTCAAATGGAATTTTGATTCAGACAAATTATAGCATGTTTATCATCATAATATAACACAAATTATAGCATGTTTATAAGGCTTTTCCTCAACTGGGTTCTCTGCTTTCTTTCTTTCGTTTACAGATTCGGTTGAATTGGCTAAAAAAACAATGTGGGTACTCAAGGTTCTGTTCGGAATCATTGTTGAGTTTCGGAACTTTCATCCATGGTTTCTGATTTTCTCAATTGGGATTATTTCTTACCAATTTCCTTTGAGATTCGCGCGTTTGTTTGTTAATGCTCTGTTTCTTCGTTTTTTTACAGGGAATGAAACTGCTCTCTTCCTCTTCTTGACACCCACGTTGATAACACTGATCTTCAAGAGTTAAAGGAGAGGTCTCATCTACATTCAGTCCCTCAATATATTTTTTTTTTGCCATCCCTTTTGCAAATTTATTTTTGTAGATTTTTATTTGAATGGATTTTTTTTTTTTTTGGCTTTAGGGAATTTTTGTTTATAATAATCCATTTTCCGATTAATCGTGCTTTTTCCATTAGGTGTTGGCGGTGGAGATAAATGCGAGCTGGTGTTGTGTGGGTGAGACATTGTAGGGTTAGTAGTTTGAAAATTCTCCGATTCTTTCTTCATTAGTCTATGTATTTTATTGATTTTTGTCCTGCCAAGACTTGGGTAATGTTTGAATTGAATTCTGTTATTTAAACTAATACATGTTAATTACTTTCGTGTTGCGTACAGACCCCGCTTCCGTATGATTTCTTCATCTGAAACCTGCAATCCGAAAAATAAATGTGAGGATTTACACAAATCCTCGAGTATTTCCCCAACTCTTTACTTCTCTGTCATTAGGTACCTTCCATCACTCTCTCTCTCTCTCTCTCTCAAATATTACAATGAGGACGAACTCTTACACACTCTGTCAGATTTTCTGTATTTAGAAAAAAAAACCCCTGAAATCGCTAACCTTGAAGAACCATTTGGTAAGCATTTTCCCCGCTACTCTATGTCATATTTTCTGTATTTTTCTTGGTTTTTGTGGGTCTGTTCAAGTTCTTGAGGGACCTGAAGTTTCTGTTAAATGTCTATCTGGTTTCCATCTTTGACGCCGTTTGGTTCCGAATGAAATAAATATTACTCGCATTATTTAGTATCTGTATTTCTCCTAATGATCCTAAGTTTGCTGCCACTGGGATAGTTTAGAAGTGATGATTCGTGCAGTTGTGTTGCTTTTGATATCTTTTAAATGTGTTTGAAGAGTCTAAACTTTGAAGAGTCTAAACTGACACAAATTCTCCTTCCCCCTTCCACACTCCTGGAAAACATTGGTTCCAGGCCTTTGGTGTGTTAATCGCTTATTTGTCTAAATAATATTGGCTGCATCTAATGTATGGTATCTAATTCTAGATAGTAATTTGCAGGTTCCCAGTGAGCAGAAGTTACCATCACTTTATCTTTTGGACAGTATTGTAAAGAATATTGGAAGGGATTATATCAAATATTTTGCTGCCAGACTCCCTGAGGTTAGATTTCCTGCTTGATTCTTATCATGCTTTTCTTTATGGAAGAACAAGGAAAGAAAATCTGCAAAAAACACAAGATTAGTCAAATTCTCCCACCGTTTCATTTTAAAGATGTTTACAGCTTTAGGAACCTACTTTTCATCCTGAGTTTTCATCCCACCGGAGATTGGCGGCTTCAGCTTCATTGTTGCTGAGACTGGTGGCCCATTGGTGTCGGGTACGGTTTATTGATATATAGGAGTTTATAGGTAGGTTGGTTTTTGTATACCTCTGTGTCGAAAGAAATATGTGTATGTTGTTTGCTGCAAATGAATTGATTTCATTGCATTTCAGGCTTAATGACTTGAAGCAACGTGGTGAGTTTGATTCCATTGCATTTCAGGCTTAATGACTTGAAGCAACGTGGTGAGTTTTATGCTCTTCGTTCGATTATAGTATATTCTTTTACAATGACTTTAAGTATTTACATAGACAGTTTTGCAATCTAATTTTTTTTATTTATTTATAAGTTTTTGCTAAAGATGCACGATTCAGTTTGGATGTAGCCTTACAATTTTTTTATTAGAATACGATGTTTTAATTGCTCTCTTACTGAGAAAAGTTTTGGACGGTTTGGCAATGAGAAACTGAAGTTCTGTTTGTCATTGTATCGATGTTGCAGTTTGCTTACTTGCCAAAGCTTTTAACGTGTTTCGGGAGTGATACACATGGAGAATACCAGTGGCTACACATTCCAGGTTTGAGCATTCGCTTGCTGTCTATTTGCCATACATGACGATAAAGAAAGCCAGCAAATTTTCAAGTCATGTTCGCTGATTAGGATTGGATTTGTCTTGGGTTAAGTAGAATTTGATTGAAGAGGCTAACATTAAGTATTTGTGGGTTAATTTTCGCATTGTTAGATTTTTTGTATGCAGAGAAAGGTCTCTGGCTCTTATATACCTAACTATTAGCCATTTATTTGTATTATTTCTTTGTTCCATATAAGTATTGCTTGCAATGTCATTTACAGATCAATTAAATTAGAAGCATCTATTTGCAAATTGAGAGAATAATTTGTACTGAATTTACTTTCTTGCATTGTTAGATTTTTTGTATGCAGAGAAAGGTTTCTGGCTCTTATATACCTAACTATTAGCCATTTATTTGTATTATTTCTTTGTTCCATATAAGTATTGCTTGCAATGTCATTTACAGATCAATTAAATTAGAAGCATCTATTTGCAAATTGAGAGAATAATTTGTACTGAATTTACTATGTCATTTTGGTTTTGGCTTTTACTTAGCCTTACTAAATTACATTAATTTTAGAGCATATTAAGCAACTTTTAACTATCACAATAGTTAGGTAAATAGATGAAGACCTATCCAGAAAAATGCACATAACATCATTAAGGTATCTTATCCATGAATACATATTCTATCTGTATCATCATGAACTTAGTTTATCTTTTCCACTTTCCTCAAAACACTACATTAGGGGAGCCTCATGATCATTATTATCATTAAAAACATATGTGTGATACATCTAATGATCCTTATTATCAATAAGACTTAGATCTTATCCAACAATTCTACATCCAAATTCCAGCCAATAATTGGAATCCCCAATCTAACCAACTCAATATATAGGTCTACAAAAATAGAACAAATTATAGCTTTAATCAACTCATCTTTAACAGATTTTGGTAAAATAAAGTGTTCAAATAGAATCCAATATGTAGTAAGCTGTATTTTGTGGTATTGTGAGGATAAGATGATATTTATGCGTCTGTTTTTCTCAATAGGAAACTGAGATTGTATGCTGCGGTTGAAGACGCCAACATAAATGCAACAGAAAGAAGAGGGACAAATAAAGAATAGAGGGTAAATACATTAGCTCCCTTCGGTTCTGTTAGTTGGCACTTTTCTCCTATTTTTCAATTTTTTTTTATGGACGAATACATATTTATCATTCCTATATACAATCAGAATAACTATGTATTTCGTGTATCACCATCCTCTTTGCCTAAAATCTTATTTGGATGGTCCTGCTTATGTACGAAGTTCTTTCTTATATGATGAATGATTTCCTAGCCTATTTTGTGTTCCATTGTACTGTAGCGTTAGGTGTAAGAAAACAAACAACCATTAATTGAAACAAAAAAGGCTGTTTTCATGGCCTGATCTCAAATGAATTTGTATTAAATTAAAGGGTAAAATTTGCACACCACTTAAATTGGCACAAATTTAGCATTTGTACTTTGCTCCAAGAACCTACTTTGTCCTAATTTTTTAGAAATACCCCGTGTTTTTACAAACTCAAAAAATCTTAACCCAAAACCATTTTTAGGGGCACGTACCAAACATCTTAACAATAGATAAGATCCCAAAATATCTTAACGCAAAACCATTTTTAGATGCAAGTTCCTACTTAAAGACCATGAACAATAGCAAGTATATGTAAATAAATAAAAAATAGTAGATGACAACATTAAGTACTCATTCAATAAAAAAGACAACACAAAAGTAACTGCTTATAATAGGGGTAACATAGTGAAACGAAACACAACACACATGGGAGATGGTTACGTGAGATATACTTTTTCTACACTCTTAGCCAAAATTGTTTTTATTCGCTCGATGAATCAAACCCTCCCTCAAAGCTTCCTCCTAAATGTCATCAATGAATGTGGCCCCTTAGATTAAAAAAATGGACGATGAAAACATCACTCCGATTTTTGATATAAGCACTATCCAACTATCCAAACAAACGGCAACTGTCATCTTCATGTACAACTCACGTTCTCTTATTACGGGTTACACATTTCTAAAAACTTTTTATATTATGTCTAGCCCACATCCGTCATTTATGATAGGGTTTAGGGGTATTAAAAAAATTTAAAATTCTACTCATCCAGTTCACATAAAAATTATAACTCTATAAACAATGCTAATTTATAAAAGAAAAAAACATGAAAGCTAAATCATATCGAAGTCCTAACACCAACCGAGAAGTGTAAATAGGCCCGTCATTTCGTTGCACTAATACCTATTACACTTCAAAAGTATTTTGTGATCATTTTATTTTGTTCTTTTGTATATTATTGTGATGTGTAGATAAATGTTTTTTCTTCTTCTGTTCATAGGCATCTACGTAGACTTTTTCGTATTTATGGAATGTAACAGAATTTGTATTCAATTTAGGTTCATTTATTTTTTAATTTTTTAGATAAATTTTTCCATGGAGCGTGGCCAAAGTCGTGCAAGACAATGGCGTCAATCATTGAGTCCTGAAGAACATCAAAGATATCTAGCTCGACGACGTCTAATAGCACAAGAAAAAAGACAACAAATTCCAACTCTATATGATGATCATACTATGACATCCCCCAGTAACATACAACAAGAAATTCCTGGTATTTATTTCATATTCCTTTTTCTTTAACTCATACTAATGCAAAAAAAAAAAAAAAAAAAAATAATCTAATTTCTAATTTTTCTTTTAACTATGCAACAAGTAGGTCCCAATAATATACAAGAACGGGTTCAGTTGGCTAACTATGATGTTGAGGTCGACCCCAGTAATATAGAACAACAAATTCCTGGTATTTATTTCAATTTCTTTATTTGTATTTGTTTCACACATAAAAAATTAGGTTATTTTTTAAGAACAAAATTTAGTGAATTGAAATCTCATTGTATTCTTTTCTTCGATACTTTCATATTGATCTCAATGTTGTAGTTATTTTTAGTGGTAGTCTTACGAAATATTAGACTCACAACTAAATATATTAAATATTAAAGACAAAATTTTTAACTAATCGTAATGTGGTCTATTTATTAGAACAAATTGAGCATGAAAGCGCGAATTCAAGGGTTTTGTCAGATATCACAAATCATGATGACCAAACTTCTACTAGAATGCGTACTCATATGGGACAGTTGGCACATTCAAATAGGTCACAAATATCTTATGGGATGCTCTCAATTCCTCCCCACAATGGTGAGCTTAGTATAAAATTTTATCTTTATATAGATATATGATTAGTTACAAAGAAAATTCTTATACTGAATGTTGGATATTCATGTAAAAATATCAGAAGAAGAACATGCAAACAGAACCAATTGTCATGTGCGCCAAACCAGAGGAAGAAGAAACCACAATTGTGCTAGAAATTATAATGAGAATCGGGGTATCCTAGGTTGCCAATTATCTGCTCCAACCATATGTCCGTATTGCTATGCACGATTGTTTGCTCGAGAAACTTTGAATATGTGTTGCTTGAAAGGAAGAATTGTTTTACCCCCAATACAATCCCCACCAGAAATGGTTGCTCTTTTCTCTGACCAAACAAATGAGGGTAGACACTTCAGGCAAAATATTCGAGCTTACAATCATGCATTTGCATTCACTTCAATGGGAGTACACGTGGATGAAAGAATTAATATTGGTGGTCGTGGGATTTACACATTTCGTGCTCAAGGTGCATTATATCATAAGATTGGTGGACTTTTACCAAATGAAGGGAACAGACCGCGATTTTTACAAGCTTATATATATGACACTGAGCATGAAGTTGAAAACCGAATGTGTGAAAGTGAAGTTTTAGATAGACGTGTGGTTGAAAAGATACAACATATGTTGAACAACCATAATCCTTTTGTTCATACATTGCGAAGCCTCGGACAACGCCAAGATTTGCCGAATTGCAAGTTGATCCTAAAAGAGCAACCAATAGATCGGCGTCAGTATAGTCTACCATCAGCATCACAAGTTGCGGCAATTATAATAGATGGAGATAATGCCACAATTGCAAATGGAAGGGATATCGTGGTGGAGACAATTAGTGGAAGACTTTCTCACGTCCGAGACTATGTTGGATTTTATGATCCCTTACAATATCCACTATTGCTGCCTTACGGTACATATGGATGGGATGTTAACAGTCGTGATGATGGTGGAAGAGCAATAACATGTTGCGACTATTATGCTTATATGTTACAGGTTTGTACTAATAACATAATTTACTTCCCGGTATATATAGATGAATGATGATTCCTATATTAAAAGCAATATATGAAATTTGCTTTTGTAGATACGCCATAATGGATCATCACTTTTGCTTCGAGGTGGACGTCTCTTGCAACAATATGCTGTAGATAACTACATTAAAATTGAATCACAAAAACTTAGATGGTTGCGTTCTAATCAAGCCACAGTTAGAGCGGATCTCTACAAAGGACTTGAAGACTCTCTAAATGCAGGTCAACACAATGCAGGTATATATATCGTTTCAGTCATCGTTATTTAGAAATATAACTTTGTTTAAAGTGTGTACAATATATACAGCTAATTGAAAATAAAATATTATTAGGTAGCATCGGGCGTAGAATTATTTTACCATCATCATTTGTTGGAAGCCCACGTGACATGTACCAACGATATCAAGACGCAATGACTTTGGTTCAAAGATTCGGAAAGCCAGATCTTTTTATTACCATGACATGTAACCCAAGTTGGGAAGAAATCAAAAGCGAATTACTCGCTGGACAAACTCCACAAGATCGCCCTGACTTACTCACTAGAGTATTTCGTGCAAAACTTGAGCAACTAAAAGAAGACATCATTGAAAAGGGGGTATTGGGCAGTGTTGTTGCTTACGCATACGTTATTGAGTTTCAGAAACGTGGTCTTCCACATGTGCATATGCTGGTTGTGTTAGATGAAAATGATAAGATCAATAACCCAGATGAGTATGACCGAATTGTTAGAGCTGAAATACCAAATGAAGATGTAGAGCCTCAACTTTATAATGTGGTGTTAAAGCATATGATTCATGGTCCATGTGGGATTCATAATCCTCTATCTCCATGTATGAAAAATGGGAGTTGTAAGAGAAAGTTTCCCAAACCATTTGCACCAGTCACCGTTCAAGGGAATGATTCGTATCCAATTTATCAAAGGCGAGGAAATCGATTGCCTGTCTCACTTAATCGACAAGGAAACATAATGGTTGATAATAGTTGGGTCATTCCATATAATCCATGGTTGCTGTTAAGGTATGATTGTCACATCAATGTCGAAATATGCGCAAGCATAAAAAGTGTCAAGTACTTATATAAGTATGTTTACAAAGGCCCAGACAAAGTGACAGTTGAAGTGCAATCAGACCCTCAATACGATGAAATAAAGCAGTTTCAGGATGCAAGATGGGTTTGCGCACCAGAGGCATTATGGAAAATATTCAAGTTCATTATTAATCGAATTTATCCATCTGTTGAGCGAATGTAAATACATCTTCCTAATATGCACCAAGTTCAGTTTCGTGCCGATGAAAGCATAACAAATATTCTACATGATGAGAGTACAAGAAAGACAATGTTGACTGAATTTTTTACACTTAATCATGTGGATGCAGAAGCGCGACATTATTTATACATGGAGATACCATCACATTACAGATGGATTCAAGCTCAAAGAAAGTGGTCTAAAAGAAAGAATCGTAACAAGGTTATTGGGCGAATATATGCAGTTTCACCTGCTGAAGGCGAAAAATTTTACCTTCGGATTCTTCTTAATCATGTTAGAGGACCAACATCCTTCACAAACTTGAGAACAGTTAATGGGGTTTTGCATCCAACATTTAAGCAGGCAGCAGAACAACGAGGTTTGTTAGAAAGAGATGACAGTATTCGACAATGTTTGTTAGAGGCCTCCACAATTCAGATGCCGTCGGCTTTAAGAAGATTATTCGTCACCATATTGGTATATTGTGCACCAATTGGTGTTCGAGGGTTATGGGATGAGTTCTGTCCATTCATGATGGAAGATTATGTTTCCATGACTAACATAACTCCCACACTTGCTACCAACATACTCTTGCGTGAGTTGAACATACTTTTGGTTCAATTTAACAAGAGTATAAACGAGTTTGATTTGCCCCAAATGACAAGAGGAAATGAATCAAGTTCAGGAATGACCGGATGTATTGAAGATGAAATATCCATATGTATTCCACAACAAGATCTTGATGCAATTGAACGCTTAAATGATGACCAAAAAAGTGCGTTTAACATAATAATGGGTGCAGTTCAACGATCGGATAATGCAACTTTTTTTGTGGATGGTCCCGGTGGAACTGGAAAAACTTACTTATATCGCGCATTGTTAGCAAGCTTGAGAAGGTTGGGGCACATAGTATTAGCAACAGCATCATCTGGAATAGCAGCTACGATATTGCCTGGTGGGAGGACAGCACATTCTAAATTCAAGATACCACTTAGTCTCGATGCATCATCGATGTGTTCGATCGGTAAACAATCTGATTTAGCAAAGCTAATACAAAAGGCAAAGGCAATTATTTGGGATGAAGCAACAATGACGCATCGTCATGCATTTGAAGCACTCGATCGAACGTTCAGAGACTTAACAGATATTGACTTACCATTTGGGGGGAAGATAATGATATTTGGGGGAGATTTTCGACAAGTTCTTCCTGTTATCCGGAAAGGAACCAAGTCCGAACTAATCCAAGCAAGTGTTGTTAAGGCATCATTTTGGTCACAAGTAAAGATTTTAAAACTCAAACAAAACATGAGATCCATAAATGATTGTGAATTTTCAGAATTTTTACTTCGTGTTGGTGATGGGAATGAAGATGTTATTATGGATGATATGGTAAAACTACCTGAATGCATGGTGATACTATGGGAGAGTGAGCATTCCATTAATCAATTAATTGTCAAAATCTTCCCTGACTTAGAGGATCATATAAATGATGCAACCTACATGGTGGAAAGGGCAGTGGTAACTCCTACAAATGAAGACGTTGATATGTTGAATGAAAAGATAATCAATATGTTTCCGGGTTTAGAAGAGACAATGTATTCATTTGATTCAGTTGAGGATGACGCAAGGAATTTGTATCAGCCAGAGTTCTTGAATTCAATCTCACTTGGTGGTTTGCCTCCGCACAAGTTAACTCTGAAAAGAGGTGCTCCAATCATGCTTTTAAGAAATATTGATCCGAAATTGGGATTGTGTAATGGTACAAGATTATTGTGTCGTGGTTCTTACCGAAATCTTATTGATGCTGAAATTCTAACTGGACAATTTGCCGGATCCAGAGTTTTCTTACCAAGAATCCCTCTCAAAAGTACTGATACTGCTGGGCTTCCATTTGAACTTACAAGAAAGCAATTTCCAGTGAAACTAAGTTTCTCCATCACTATAAACAAATCTCAAGGTCAGACAATACCACATGTTGGCATTTACCTTCCAGATCATGTCTTCAGCCATGGACAATTATATGTGGCTTTATCGAGGGGGGTCTCAAAGTCAACCACAACCGTGTTAGTAAAAAGTGGCTCGATAGTAGGCCAACAAGGTGTATTTACACGGAATGTAGTATACAAAGAAGTCTTGCTTCATTCCAGCTAATTATGGTGATTCCTAATAGGTAACAACTTTATTAACGATAACCTTTCAGTATGCATTTCTCACTTATCAATTAACTATTTTTATTTGATTTTTAATTTTCTCACTATCGTTTGTAGATTGACAATGAAAATTTGAAGCATCAATCATGAACAAATGGGTGGAAATTGCAGCATTGATGTCAATATGTAAACTTTCTTTTCAAAAGAAACAGTGACATAAAAACTCTATGAGTATTGTGAATACTGTACATATTGTTATGTACGATTTATATTTTGACATTTAAATTGTTTTGTATTTTGCTACGAGTACTTACTGTTTTCATCTACTATTTTTTTTTTATTTACATATACTTGCTATTGTTCATAGGCTTTAGGTAGGAACTTGCATCTAAAATCGTATGTTGTTTGATAAGTGCATGAATAACATTTAAATCATTACTTTACACAAAGTAAAAACAAAAAACATGATAACTTTTTAGGACGTGCATGATAAAAAAAGTTTCTCTTTGCACAATACATTTAAAGTATATCTTGACAATTACAATGGGAAAAACTAAAACAATACACCTTTAGGGGCGCGTAGCGCCCGTGATGCAAAAATGCCTCTCGCACGCACGTTAGTGCGTGCAGAGAGGCTAGTGCTTATAATTTTCAAGAATGTAAATGTTTTCTTGGTAATATAAATTTTTAATATTACTTATTAGATGCATAGTATCAATTGTACTAATAATAGCAATTTATTTAATATTGTTTTCTTAATATTCTTCATTTAGTTAATAATATAAATACATATATAAATATCATAATGGGAAAAACCGTTCCTAGATTAAAAATCCATCACCTGACAGGTTTGGTTATAGCAGCAAAAATCCTTTCGAAAATTCTAGGATTTGAATACGGAGAAAATAAACCGTTTAGATATAAGGATGGCACATCCGAATCCAATCCGTGGCATCGCCCATCCTAGAGACAATCCTCCCCTCCCGTGTTATTCACATAGCTCCGTAACGCGATATGCGTCCCCGTGCGGTCGGTCTTATTTCGAGAAGTTGAACTGTCAACCCAACCGCTCATTCCCCGGAAAATCCTACGGTCACTAGATCACCAATCCCGCCGCGTCTTTCAACCATCCATAACCCTACTCTCATCTTCTCGTTTTTTCCGTCTTCTCCAAACCCAAAGCTTTTTCATCCTTCTTCTTTCCTGTGATTATTTTCTACTTGTGTGCTCCTCCATGGTTCCTCTGTTAAGTTAATTCCCAAGGTACTTCTGAAACTCAATATTTTTTTAATTCCCCATTTCTCAGCTTCTTCTTTTTTCGCAATTTTTGTTCATAGTTTCTAGAGAAATGGGTCTCGGTTGGATCCATTTCTTTGATTTTGTTCAATTATGCACCTTCTTATTCCATATTGTTCTTTTCCTTGTTTCGATTTTGTATTATTTCAGTTTTGATTTGTAGGGTTCACTCTCCAATTTTTAGGATTTTTTTTCCTTTTGCAGGATATAAATTTCGGATTTCTGGGTTCGTCTCTGATTCGAAGTCTTAGATTTTGATTACTGGGTTTGTGTAATTGGAGGTGTTTTGATTACTGGTTTGTGTAATTGGAGGTGTTGGGGGTCAAGAGAGTTTCCATCCCTTAAATTCACGGTCAGAGTCATATCCTTTTATGGAATTTGAATGCCAAGTGAGTATTCAGGTTTCTAAGAATTTGGCAGACTCTGTAGAAAATTCGTTTCGACAGCAAACTGAATCGAATCGATTCAATTCTAACCCTGAAGCCGAAAACTTTAGCATTTCAGGACGAACGTTAGATTCCTATCTTGAAAAGGAAGAAACTTCAATTCCAAAATCCACACCAATCAAGAAGCCAAACTTGGAGTCTTGTGGTTCGAAACAGTTGTTGTGTAGCGATGTCCTTGTTAATTCTCATAGAACAATCACCGATCTTCCTCCAGCTTTGTTATCCGAAATTCTGAATTGCCTTGACCCAAAAGAGCTAGGCATAGCTTCATGTGTATCAGCTTATCTCTGTAAGGTTGCGTCTGAGCACCATGTTTGGAAGGATTTTTACTGTGAGAGGTGGGGAACTCCCACACTTCCAACACCTTTGGGAACGGGAGTCTCTGACAAGACATTGTGGAAGGAGTTTTTTGTTGAAAGGGAGTTTAGGAGTAAGACCTTTATGGGACGTTATAGCATTGGCGTTATGTATGGTCATGCTGAAGCTGTTCAAACAGTTTTCCTTTTGGCTTCCGCAAAGCTCATATTTACTGCTGGGTATGACCAAACTGTAAAAATGTGGAAGATGGAAGAAGGATTGTTGATTGCTTCTTCAAGATCTCTTGGTTGCACTATTCGTGCAGTTGCTGGAGATACAAAACTCCTGGTCGCCGGTGGTACTGATGGGTTTATCCAGTGTTGGAGGGCAGTGGAGGGCTTTCCACACTTGTTTGATATTAAGGGTCCTCAAAACCAGAATACCGAGTTTCGACTATGGGAGCATGAGGGGCCCATAACTTCTCTTGCTTTGGATTTGACTAGGATTTATAGTGGTTCCTGGGACATGACTGTTCGTGTATGGGATCGGTTTTCACTCAAGTGTGTAAAGATTTTGAGGCATAGTGATTGGGTATGGGAACTTGTGCCTTGGAATCTTACAGTTGCTAGCGCATCGGGTTCTGATGTTTATATTTGGGATGCTAGTAGCGGGAGACTGATGACCATTATTCATAATGCTCATGTTGGTAATACCTACTCTTTGGCACGAAACCTCACAGGGGATTTTCTATTTTCTGGAGGGGATGACGGTGCAATACACATGTATGAAATCACTAGTCATGGTCACAAGACTGATGCAATACTCGTTGCCACATGGGTTCCTCACTCAGGCCGTGTCTATTCCCTTGCATTTGAGTTTCCATGGCTTGTTTCTGCTTCTGCTGATGGGAAACTCTCACTAATTGATGTGAGAAAGCTTCTAAGGACTAGAAAGCGTGCTTCAGAAAAGGGTTTTTCATGTATTAAGCATGCGGACCCAAGTACTGTGGAACCTCCGCAGAGGATGTTACATGGTTTTGCGAAAAATCTTGTGTCAGTGGACATTGGTGCTGATCGTATTGTATGTGGAGGTGAGGAAGGTGTTGTTAGGATATGGGACTTCACAGAAGCTTTGGAGATTGAGCGGAGGGTTTGTGCTTCAAGAGCAATGCGGTTGGAGAATAGGATGAGGCGGCGTATGCTCCATTTAGAGAATAGCAGCAAAGCCAGTCGGAACGATCAATGTTCGGTTGCAGCCAAGAAGAATCCAGTCACTGGTGACAGGAGTGGTTGGCTCAGTAAAGGCGCGTTGAGCGGGAAGCTGAAGTCATAGTAGCAGGTAACAGTTACCTTATATGCTTCTAAACTTTACCACTCTTCCCCCCTTCCGTTGTTATACCGGGTAAGTGATGTTAGTGTGTGGAAGGGACAAACTTACCGTTACTTTGGCTTAAATCTCTGTTGACCGTTGATGAAGCGGCAGAGGCACTTTCATGTAAAAAAATCCACTGTTTGGCTCGGTGTTTGCATTTTACGTGACAATGTATGTCATGCATATATGGATCTCATGTGTGTGATTGCTTATGGTTTCAGATAGGAATATGGCGAATACATGTCTTTCTTGTCCAAGTTGGTGCACGGAGGCTCTTCTTTTACATTGACGAAGTGATTATGCTCCGGTGAGTAGTATTGTTTGCGCACCTTAGGATATACGTACGCAGAGGTGTAGTCATGAAAATAGTTAATGATCAGCATGGTAGAGAAGGATATACGTACTTTGCTTTTAACTGAAACTCACGAATGCGTTGAGAAGTACTAGTCGTTGTTATACTCTTATTCTTACCCAAATGACTCCTCGTCCATGACGATGCTCACGAGATAATACTTTGTACTTCACTAGGAAATAACTCTTATCAAAGCATGGTTTGTCTTGTATGTTGTCAAATTCTTTGACCCATTTCATTTATACTTTTAATGTAACTTTTGAAATAAAGCTTAAAAATTTACATTTCAGGAAAATATTAAATTTGATGAAAAAATGACTTACATAAATTACATCTCTTTTTAAAGACGCTCTTATTCTTCGGAATCCTTTTCAGTTTTAGGCAATTTTCAATGTTTAGATGATTGAGCTTCATCATTTCATTATCTTCCGCTGCCTAATCCTCTAAATCTACTAAACAAAGGTGCTTAACAACTGAATTTTCTTGAGTTCGGAATCAATCAAACGTAGCCCATCTCCAACTGAAGGGATTAAACATAGCCTCGTTCAAAATTATAGCCTAGCAAAATATTATTTTTAAATAAATAGTGTCAAGTCATATTCATATATCATATGTAAACAAATGGCTAAACATAGCCTCCTTAATAATTTATTAGTTTTTTGTTTATGCTTTAAATTTATTGGTTAATTTAGTTAAACTACCGTTGAGTTTGAATCAATTATTGCAACTAAGGGGCTCGCTCCAAAAGAAAAAAAAAAAAGGGTTAAGAGGAGGGCTGCATTTGGCTAGTCTATTGCTCCTTTGACCAAATAATAATCTGGTGGGTCCGTAGAGTTATAGCCTAGCTATTGATTGGAGATGAATTTTTAGACAAATTAGATCATTTTTTTGGCTTTTAGATCCTTAGCCCTTTCTAAGCCTAAAGCTCGATTAGGTTTGGTGACAATGAGAAAGTGAGTTGGAAATTTGGATCATCATCTTTCTTGCATATTTTTTTAGTCAACCTCTCGAAGGGAAATTTGGATCCACATTATAGCGTTTTTATCACAAATAGTTCCTAAAATTAACTATCACCATCAAGATGGTCCTTGGAATTGAAAATCAATCAATGTAGTCTTTAAAAATATATGTCGCAAATCAATATGGTCATTCCATCACAATTATGTTAAAAATCCCGTTAAGTGCTAATGTGACACATAAATGGGCTTCACAAGATTTACAGGTTTCTATCATAAATGGTCCCTGAAATTAACCCACACTATCAAGATGGTCCCTGGAATTAAAAATTGATCAATATAGTTCTTGAAAATAGGTATCGCAAATCAATATAATCCTTTCATCACAATTCTATAAAAAATAAAAATAAATAAAAAAATTTTATGTGCTAATTTGGTTTAATAATTAATTAAAAAAGTTGTCTAAATACTTTTTTGCGTAAGGAATTTTTTTTTTTTTTTTCTTCTTACAATAGGGCCTACTTCGAAGAAAGATAACCTCATTATCTCAAGATGGTCCCTTGAGATACTGAGGTTATCAAGGCTTAACCAAGGTTTAAGAGGGGGTTTGAAAATAGTTTTAACCAACACTAGGTGCACCTTGATTATAATCTCATTATCTCAAGGTAAGGTCTCACCGTTCTTTGAGTCACCAGACCACTGGGGAAGTACCAAACAAGCTCTCCAATATTAAGGTTGTGAGATCTTGATCGCCTAAATGTTAATGATGATGTCCCAGAAGTCATTGCCAATCGGCCAAGCCGTCACCAAAGGCGATTTCGATCTAGGTTCAATTTGATGAAGAGTGTCGAAGTGTGCAAAGATGGGTGTATAGAGATTTTTTTTTTTTTTTTTTTTTTTTTTTTTTAAGAGAATAGAGAGCAAAGGAGGTAGAGGTATGTGGATGGGATCGGAAGTGATTGCAGGACTGGGTTTTTGGGTTGACAACTTCTTTATTAACTATTAAATTATTAAACCTAATTGTAATTTTTTTTTTCTAATTTAATTAGACTTGTGTGACCCATTTATGCGTCATGTCAGCACATGACATAATTTTTTGACAGAGTTGTGATGGAATGACTACATTGATTTGAGACACTTACTTGCAGGACTACGATGATTGATTTTCAATTTCAGGGACCATTTTGATGTCACGGGTCAATTTCAATGATCATTTTGATGTCGTAGGTCAATTTTAAGAACCATTTGTGAGAAAAAAAATGAATAATGGGGTCCATTTATGTGCCACATCAACACTTAACATAATTTTTAATAGAATTGTGACGGAAGAATCACATTGATTTGCAACACCTATTTTCATGAACTATATTGATTGATTTTCAATTTCAGGGACCATCTAGATGGTGAGGAACAGTTTCAAGGATCATTTGTGATGAAAACCCCACATTATAAAGGAAAGCGGAAAGAAAGTGGGAAAACTGAAGAACACTTGCTTAAATTCGTACTTAAATACATCTACAAGATAATCGTCAATTAAAATTGAAACTTGTATCCTGATGAGAGTAAGAATTATTGATTATGTCTTCTAAGTAGCCATAATATCTGTTAGCAGCATCATCACTAATATTGTGTTGTGTGAAATCTGATGACCCAACTGGATCGAAGGGAAGAGCTTTCAAAGCCGGAGGGAAAACATGTTCTGCAGGTGAAACATCAACGGCGCCATTCGGATCATTACCATCTTCCCCTATAAAGTAGTTGAGCATTGCAGCATATCCAGTGTCATCCACTACCCCACCTATATCCTCCACATCTTGCCTTAGCAAGAAGTTCTCCAAATCTTCTGCATTCCAGCTGAAAGATCCCTTGCCGTTGCCATTGTCGTTGCGATTGCCGTTGCCAACATCATGATCATCACCCACCGTTGTTAGCGTTGTATTAGGCAGCGTGTCTTTAGATATCAATATTGGTCTGATCGAGACATGTTGCGCATTATTATCTTCCAAAACTATATCCCGGTTGATACATTGCCTCTTACTAACGGGTGATTGTGATTGTTTAAATCTCTTGTTAATATTTTCATGAAGCACCAAATATTTTTGTTTAAACGCCACCAACTCTGCAACTGTTTTGCAGGTTTGCAACTCCTTCTCAACCGACTCTTTAACCTTTGCCACCTTATTCTTCTCCGCAATCTCCTCCTCTCTCTTTCGCTTCTTATGACTTTCAAGTTGCTTTCTGAGCACTTGGATCTTGTCTCTTTGCTCCTCCTGATTGTCTTCTGTAAAGCGGCTGGTAGAAGGTGCTTGCGCTATCTTAAAATAGCGATTGAGCACGGCATCAACAGAAGAGTGTCCGAAAGAGTAAGGCCTACCAGCAGGAGACAGCACTAGAACGGCAATTTGTGCGTCGAACTTCAAGCAAAATTCCGAAGCCTTGCTGAACAGCCCGTAACGCCTCTTAGAGAAACTCACATACTTTCTGTTTAGCTCTTTTTGTTGTACTACTCTTGGATCCACTCCTTCTTGCGACTCCAGTTTAATTACTTGACCGGCTCTTCTTCTTCTCGACATGGATGGAAGGATCGAAATATGCGGTTGGGAAATGAATAATGTATTGTCAATTAATCGTTGCGTCTTGTTTTGAATAGCTGACTGAATTATTGTTGGTGCTGTCTGTGTGTGTTCGTAGCTACATCCTTCACAGTGATCTCTTTCTGTGTATATAATGTAGTTGGTTTTTCACCTGATTGCAGTAGGAAACTGCCTGCCTTGGTTCGGAAAAGGCAAAACATCGATCGGGAAAGTCTTTTTGTCTAAATATCCCAGCTCAGCTGGATCAATTAACAATAAAATAATTCTATCCAAAAGAAAATAGGAAAAATATATAGCTAAGGTTAACGGCCAGATATTCATTTTATTTTATATTGGGAAAGTCCTCCTTGAATTTCCCAGTAGTAGTGTACTATATAATAATAAAAATAAATTAGGAAATAGACAAGATTATTGTTATTTTATATTTTTTGTAATAAACTTGCCAAATTAAATTGGGAGTGCTTTCTTGCGAAACAATTCAAGGCATTCATTGATCGTTAGCATCCACGGCTCATATGGAATCCTTGCATCTACATGCAAGGCAACCTCCTCCTCCTTGTTAGATTTTTGGGTCGATGGGCTGAGAATCCCACTCTAACTAATATTGGTGAGGAAAAAAAATAAAGAGAGAGTTTAAATATGATTATCATACTCTAACTAATACCGATGTTTTTTTATGATAAACTCCATACTTGACAGATTGGACATGTGGTAATTACCAAGTTTGGAATAATATCAGTGTTGTTAAAGTAGGGTCCCGACCCGTTGACCTCAAAAATTTAACATGGTATGAAGTTGAATTTTTTAGGTCAACGAGCCGAGGGTCCAATCCAACAGCATCGATACTGTCACCCAACTTGATAATTACCACCTGACGGATTTGGCAAGTGGTAATTATTAAGTTGAGGACAGTATCGGTATTGTTGGAGTGGGAGCCCCGACCCTTCAACCTAAAAAATTCAACACTTTTTCTCCCGTCTTTCCAGAATTTGTGCAGCATCTTTACCATCTCCTCCCCTTCTAGCTCAATCAAAATCTTGTGATGAAGTTCATCATCCTTGAAAGCAAGTTACTTAGTAAGGCGCAATGCACTAAACAACTATTAACTCCTCTATCATGCCAGAATTCTGTAACATTGCCTTACCTCAAAACAATCCTACGTTTGTACTTGCATCACCTTTTCAAATAACTCAAGATTTTTCTTGGGTCCAACAGCTGGCTCATCTTCTTCTACAGCTTCTGCTTTGGTTGCTGTAAATTGCCATCGAGTACCACAACAAACCTTTTCGTATGATTAATAAACTAATTATTAGTCTTGGTCATGCTCAATTAAAGTATTTAATTGCTTATCCATCTCATTGATATTTCTTCACATTCATCCTTATTCGGTGTACGACCCTTAAGTTTCAATTAGCGAGGTAGTGGGTAATTGTAACTCTAACAGTCGATTGTGAATTGAGACTAACTTCCAATTCTCTCTTTGTTGAAGATTAGTGTTTGCTAACCTTCAGAACTTTCACAAACCATGAGTGACACGTAGTAGTATGTCATGGCTACCCAAACTAAGTAGAAGTGGTTGGAGAACAAATCCAGTTACAACTATAATGCTATATGGTCATTCTCTAATTTAGTACTCTTGACCACATTGTTTAATTGATAGTTTGTCTACTATCCAATGTCATTCTTCTCTATATGATTCCAATGGATGTGATTTGAAACGTACTTTCTAAATCTCATTCACACAATTCTGCCATGCCATTGTGCTTGCAGTACAATAGGCGTCTGCCTCCTAGAATTCTACAATCTATAATCTGAAGTCAAAACACTGCAATCTTCAGACTCTAACAAACTTTATACATTTCATACTCTCAAGTCACAACTTAGAATTGAAAATGGCAGCTAAAATATTAGAGAATATATATCCCGAGTAGAAAGCAAAGTCCCTAATTCTATATTCTAAATATTCCTAAATTCCATTCATATGCTTTAGTCAAAGACTCTGAAATCATATCTCAAACATTCCAACAGCGTACAACCTTCTAAAGTCAACTGAGACGACAATGCACGGTTTTTTATGGCTTGAGTCAACCATGGCCCTCCGAAATGTAAACCATGAACCTCATCTCATAGGTTACCACCATATTTACCATCATTTACTACGATTTCAGAATCACCACACATACTTCTCTCTCATTGTTATTGTTTGTAGTAAAATTAGAGAAAGTGAACCCAAAGGGAAAGATATGCAAAAGGTGCACAACAAGAGGGAGCCCCTAATCACTTGTGTGCTTAGTAATTTTTTCCAAATTTGTTTTGAAAAATTAATTATGAAATCTTGGCTCATACTTCCTTTCCGAGTTGTATTGATGCAGTTTTAGTGATGATGATGAGGAAGATGAGTTGGAGACGGTGTTCGATCCTGATTTAGATTCTAATTCCAAAGAAAGTATCAAGCAGTAAAGAACTAAAGATGAGTTAAATCATGCATCATTAGTTCCTTACTGCTTTCTGTTTACTTAGATTGGAATGTTCTTTATGTTGCCCTTAACTACTATCTATTGCTCCAACGCTATTGGAATATTTGCTAGTTTAAGACTTTTTTTTTCCGTCATTTTAAGATAAATGATTTGGTAATGGAGTTTCATTTATCTAGTTGTTGAATTCCCTATATATTTCTTTTATGTTTTTCTACTTTATGGATTGCTATAAATGGATCAAAATTAGTTGAAAAAAAAAAATCACTACAAAATAATCTTAATTGGCTATTGATTTTGAAGATCAGTCTTGTCAAGCCGTAGAATTGAAGTTGGTGGAAAAGTACTATCGCGGCCATTGCGTGAGTAAAAATAAAAATATGCAAAAGTGAAAGCAAACTTACACAACACGACGTTAATTTCGTCTAGCACCAGTCTTGCCAAATAACTTATCGGGGGGAGCAACAACCAAAGTCGTCCAGTGAGTAGAATACGAAGTATGCCAGTCAAGCGTGTTGTTTTAGTTACACTATAACATAGTATAATTATATCAAAGTCTTCATCACATATCTTGCCATATCACATCGTCCCTTCACATGTTGTTATCCTTCATAATATGTAGCTCACCACCTAACCCTAAATTGGTCATCTTAATATCTTCGTGTGCCATATATTTGGCCAGCCTAATATCCCCGTGTGCCATACAAAATGACTAAATAATCCATTAACTGGTTGCTAATCCATTGTCCTTTCAATAAACGAATCCCAAGTGATTCTTTGGGATTATATAAAATTGATGTTGTACAAGTATTATGTTGAAATTTATTAAATGTTTATGGGGGAGGTTCCCCCCACCTATTCTATGAGCTGATGCCGCATAAGTATTACGTTGAAAATTATTAAATGTTTTTTTTGGGGGGGGGGTGGGCGGGGTTCCCCCCAACCCCCTCCCCAAAACTTATGACAATTGATTTTGCATAATTCTATGAATTGATGCTGCATAAATATTAATAACATTCGCCAAATACTACTAACTCATAATCCATTCCAATTCTAACAAATATATTATAACTATACTGCAAAAAACAAAGGAACTTCAATGAAAACCAAAGCAGCACAACAAAAAATCACCTTCCTCAAACACTTGATCAAATAAAAACTGAATCAAAATCTTCAAAACTAAAAAACCGTGACTGCAAAAACAAATACAATAAAAAAAAAATCAATGCGACCAATAAAAAATTGAAAAATCAGAGACTCTTCAAAATCTAAACCGAAATAAATTCAAAAACACACTACACTTTGAAAAATCTAAATTGGAACAGATAAAATTAAGAGAGATACACTTGCCTTCGAAGAAAACTTGAATGATTCGAATAGAAATTATGGTGATAGATAATTGAGGGAGATGACGAGAGATAAATTGGAACAGGTAAACTTTAGAGAGAAAGAAAAATAGCAGAGAAACGAAAATAAAATTTAAATGATTCAAATAGAAGAGAGTAACTTCACCGCCAATCTCGTTTAACATAAAAAGGAAAGGCAACTATGTAACTCCGTTTCTAATGGAAAAACAGGACATGATGTCATCTTACGCGGGTTTAAAAAATGTCCTTTCTTGAAATGTTTAAAAAGTGTAGTCTAATATATAATTAAGTATTGAAAGTATACTCTAAGTGTAATTTTTCCTTTTTAAAATTTAATTATTTTTATTTGCCACGTCAACAAAAATATATGGGCCTTATATTTGCCATGTCATCATTTAACAATCAAATTAAACTAACGAATGTATGCAATTGCAACGAAATGATAAGTAATGTACGAGATTGAAATATTTTAAAGATGTTGTATGAGATTGAAATTACACCAAAATCTCAGGGGGTAAAATCTAATTTATCCATAAAAGATATACATTAAATTAAATTCAACAAAAAAAAAAACAAAAATCAGAAATTGGACATTCACAAAAACATTGAAACTGTGGCCCAGAAAAAAAAAAAAAAAAAAAACATTGAAACCAACATTGCAGGCACATCCATGGATTTCCGGAAAGCCATGCTAATTATAAAGTTTGTAGGAAAACGGACATGAGATTTGATGCCCACCCAAATAGATAGAAAGAGAACAAGAACAAGAAGATGATGATAGAGAAAGGAGAACACATCTGAACGGAGAGGTCCCCAACCTAACTCAAAGCCCATAGTTGAGACACCTGCAAATCAAAACAACTAAATTCGCAAGTGGGGGAGAGTGGCAAAATTTGGTTCACATGGGTAGCTGTTTTTCTCGTGAGACCTACTGCTTTTTGGGGCTAGATGTAGCCTAATTTTTTCTACCCAATAAAGAAGTTGCTAGCTCAAGTGGTGGATATAGCCCCAATTTCAGACTCATTGGGGATGAAATTTCTCATTAGGGCTTCAAATGTAGTAGCTTTATGAAGGATAAAACCCTCATTCTAAGAACTCCTAAACTCACAACCTATCATCCACTGACGATGTACTACACTTGAAATCGAAAAACAGATCGTCAACAAAATTGAAGAAGATCACTGGAAAATCAAAGAAAAAGATCGTTGAAAAATTGAAGAACGATTGCAAA